CCCCCGCCTCAGCTGAGGGACACGCCTGCTGTTGCTCTTTATGAAAGAGGCCGCTGGGAACATTGTGTTTTTGTGTGGATGCGTGTTTTCCTCTCTCTGGCACGTGCTCCTAGGAGAGGACTTGCAGGGTCCTGTGGTAGTTCTGCCTGTGACTGGTCAGGGAGCTGCCAGACTGTTTTCCCAAGTGGCTGAACTGTTTCCACTCCTGCCTGCAGGGTCTGAGGGCTCGATTTCTCCGTGTCCTCCCCACACTGTCACATCACTGTCCCTCCTGGAGAATGGGAACGGTGCCCCCTGCACTTCCCTGCTGGCCAGGGAGGCCCAGACCTTCCCACATGGTCAGGTTTCCTGTGGGTCGTGACCATCGGAAAACACATATAGCAGATCAGATATTTACATGACGATTCATAACAGGAGTAAAATCACAGTTATGAAGTAGCAACGAAAATAATGTTATGGTTGGGGGTCACCACAACATGAGGAACTGTATGAAAGGGTTGCGGCATTAGGAAGGTTGAGAACCACTGCCCTAGAGCATCAGGAGAAGAAGCTGGCACCGGTCCTTGCTATCAAAGGCCGTGCTGCCTTCCTGGGGGCCTGGCATGACGCAGTGCAGAGAGGAGAGGGCAGAGAGCCTGTTAGCGGTGGAAGTGGAAACTGGAATTGTTTCTTCCGTTTGCCGGAGCCTCACTGGTCTTCTCCCTCAATAGTCCAGGCTTATTTGGGCCTCAGGGCCGTGGGACTGCGACTCCTTTGTGTGCAGGTGATATGGCTGATGTCACCCATTTCTGGCATTCGGCGTCTCGTTATTTAGGCCTCAGCATAGATGTCACCCCAGCCACTGGGGTCCACCGAGAGCAATCCTTCTTCTCCAGCCCCCGCCTGACCCCCCACGGCACTCCCCGTGGTGCTCTGGCAGCTAAAGTTATTCCATGGTGGACAGACGCCTGCTCACCTATTGTGGCCTGACTGCTCCACCCCGGCGGCGAATAGGACGCTGGCCTGCAACGTTGGCACTGATTCCCACCCTCAGCTCTCCTGGCCTCGGGCAGGCGCTTCATGCCGTTAGTTAAAGGAGTAAATACATCTCCAATGAGGTGGTCACATTTAGGAAAATGTTTCGGGGACTTCCTCTCCTTGTGGACTCGGAAGGGGCGGGAGGACAGGTGCGAGTGTGGTGGGAGACGCAGCGGGGTGAGCCAAGGAAAATGTCCCCGGAGCTCAGGGAGCCCCTGTACCAGCTCCCATCCTGCCTGTCTCGGAGCTGGCACCGCTGCACAGGGGGCGGGCTCTGTGCCTCCGCAGACCCTCACCTGTGCCGTCCCTGCCCGGCTTGGACCCGTCCCCCAGCGGCAGGCCCATCCCACTTTCCCTTTAATCCTCCTCCCAGCTCTTCAGAAGCAGCAGTCCTTAGACAGACACCCCTCCCCCCATGCCCTGCATGTCTCCTTAGTTATCATCTTAAGCACCAGCCAGACCTCTGAGGTTTAATGTGTGTTCCCATGGCCCCCTGGGGGTTCTGGAAAAGCAGATTCCGATGGAGTCGGGCAGGAGTGAGGTCTGAGGGCCTGCATTTCTGCAAACTTCCAGCTACACGGATACGCTGGTTCATGGACCAGCAAGTGTCTGTAGACTCCGGGTGGTTAACGTCTCGATGTGGGGCTGCAGGTTTTAAAAGCCGTATTGACGAATAAGACAGCACCTGGGCCGTCAGGTGTGTGTGTGTGTGTGTGTGTGGTGGGGGGATGGGGGGCAGGGGTGTGCCTGGAAACCAGGCCTTTAGAGGACAGATTGGAGCAACTTTGAATGTTTGGTGAAGGAAAAGAAAACCAGAGGGAGTCAGAAGCCAGATGGTGAGGGGGCTCTGCAAGTGCTGGTGAGAGCAAACGTGCTGCGTGTCCTAGCAGGCGAGGGAGGGCCTCGAGCCAGATCCGCGTGTCCCAGCACATCCCGTGGGCGCAGATGCCCTCAAGGTGCCCATGCAAAGATGTCTTTTGAGTCCAGAGTGTGCCCCATGCCATGCTCCCTTCTCAGAGGTTGTGGAGCATGTCAGCGGAGTGGAGGCTCTGAGAAGCCCTGCAGGAGAGGAACTGGCCACACTTCACCGTGAAGCCACGTCTTCGCGAGCAGTGCTCTCGCTGTTACTCACGCTCGCGTTCTTTGAGACTGGGAAGGGCTGCTGGGGTGTGAGTGCAAAGTGCCCCGTGTGCGGGCGAAGACTGGAGATGCTCTCTGTGCGAACATGTGTCTGACTATGCACCATGGGCTGCAGGCTCCCCTGTCAGAGGCCTGGTGGGTGGGTTTCAGACTTGCCGTGGAGCCCACAGGTTAGAGCAGCCGTGGGCAAACTACGGCCCGCGGGCCGGATCCGGCCCGTTTGAAATGAATAAAACTAAAAAAAAAAAAAGACCGTACCCTTTTATGTAATGATGTTTACTTTGAATTTATATTAGTTCACACAAACACTCCATCCATGCTTTTGTTCCGGCCCTCCGGTCTAGTTTAAGAACCCATTGTGGCCCTCAAGTTAAAAAGTTTGCCCACTCCTGGGTTGGAGTGACCCCGATACAGAGTGACCCCGATACAGAGTGACCCCGATACAGAGTGCACCTGTGGAAAGGGCTCTGTGTGACGAGGCCTGCTGCTCGGCTCCTCTTTATTTGTCCCCCGGCATTCTCTGCACCCCAAGGCACTCAGAGTAGACAGACGGCTGGACAGGGGGCAGTGTCCCTAACACTCCCACATCCCTGCTGTGGCTCAGTTTCTGCTTTTCTTTCAGACGGATGTTCCCTGTTCTGAAGATCAGTGTGACGGGGCTGGACCCCAATGCCATGTACTCCCTCCTGCTGGACTTTGTCCCCGCGGACAGCCACCGCTGGAAGTACGTCAACGGGGAGTGGGTGCCGGCGGGCAAGCCCGAGGTCGCCAGCCACAGCTGCGTGTACATCCACCCGGACTCGCCCAACTTCGGGGCGCACTGGATGAAGGCCCCCATCTCCTTCAGCAAGGTCAAGCTCACCAACAAGCTCAGCGGAGGCGGCCAGGTAGGAGCCCGGTGGCCTGGCCACCCGCCGCGCCGCGAACCCGTGGAGAAGAAACAAGGGTGCATTTAGTCAATTAGAGGGGTCCTCACCGGCCTCTTCTCCCACAGAAGCCAATTACTCCCCCCACCCCACCCCCCAGTCCAAATGTAAACAGGAATAAACAGCTCTTAATTGGTGCTTTCAGTTTTTAATGGACTTCCTGATGTGAAGAGAGCGCTTACTTAATCACAGCCTCGCAGGGTGCCCGGGAGGGGGAGCCGGGCTCCTGGTTTTGTTATTCCCTCTCCCCTTTTGATTTTGGTGAGAGTGGCGTGTTGGCAGTGGACGAATGCCTTAATCGAAAGCCGCTCCTAATGAAATAATGGCTCCCTCCTCTTGGGCATTAGGATAATTGTCAGTAGAATATGGAATCAGCTTTGGGTTTGCAGAAAAGCTCCCCAAAGAAACCTCCGCTAAGGAAGGTCTTCAGGGCGAGTGAACAAGACATGGGGGCTCCCCTGCCCCCCACCGTTTTCTCTGGTCGGAGTCCGAATACCAGTGCTCCGTGTAGGGTTGTTGCTCACTTAATGAAATGTAGAATTTGGGGGGCATTAGAGGAAAGGCTTGTTACCCCCATATTTCGAGTGGCCAACCTCTTAGCCTGCATTCTCTGCACCTCCCCCATCTCTCCCTGCTCAGCGCCCAGGATGCAGGAGGTCATGTTTCAGCCGGGGGAGGGAGCTCCCCAAGTCTTAGCAGTTTTCAGAGGTTCCTGTTCTTGTTAAAACAGGAAATGGGGAAGTAAACTGTTACCTCCTCCCGTTTTCCAGCGCCCCTCGGTGGAGGCGTGGGGTGGGTGCTCCGTGACCGGCAGGTGTTGGCATCCCTACTCCTCAGGCAGCTCCTGTGGGTGCAGCCACATCCGGGCACTGAATCCTGGGTCCTCCCATGAAGGAAACCAGTGCGGTTAAGGGCCACAGTCCACATCATTGCGCTGAAAATAGGGAGAGAAAAAGAAGGAAGGCAGGATTTGGGCAGAAAATGGAATAATCTTTAGAACAACTCTCTGGAAACCCACGCCCAGCCTCCTCTAAGCTCAAACGTCCTGGGAGTTCCTGGGAGAATCCCCTTTCTTGCTCAGAGAGGTGTGGTGCGGCTCAGGGGGCCGGGGATGCCCCGCGTGTGGCCCTAAGTGGGTGGTGCTGAGCTGGGGGCGAACCATGGGACCGCCGGTCCATTACCCGCGAGAGCCCAGGCTCTGCATGGCTCGTCTTCCTCTTCTTGCATCTCAACAGATAATGCTGAATTCCCTGCACAAATACGAGCCCCAGGTCCACATAGTGCGCGTGGGAGGTGCCCATCGGATGGTCATGAACTGCTCCTTCCCTGAAACCCAGTTCATCGCTGTGACGGCCTACCAGAACGAGGACGTCAGGGCGTGTGTGTGTGTGTGTGTGTGTGTGTGTGTGAGACCCGGAGGGCATGGTGGGACAGGGAGGGGGTGCTTTTATTGCCATCACCCAGCTGGGGTGACAGGTAGGTTTTTCAGGGTTCAGACACTCGGTGGAGGCGAAGTTAAGCGGCCGGGTGGCTGCTTGCTGCTCCCTCTCGCCGGTTCCTGTCCGTGTACCAACATGGACCAGGGCTGTCCCAGGGCCGGACGCGCCTCCAGGGAGCTGGGTGTCTGGAGAAAGGATCGTCGGGCGGGAGGGAGGAACACGTTTTTGCCTGTTAGCTTTCATTCCACTGTGCACTGTGCGATTCGTTTACTGTGTGGGCTTTTAAAAGCAGGAAGCAGGAGAAGGACAGGGCGTGCGCACGTGACTCCGCAGCTGCCTCCCTTTCGCCTGGGCTCCCCGCTCCTGCGCCAGGAAGGGCCGCGCGTCTTGGGCCTTTGCTGATGCACATGTTCTTTTCCATATTCGTTCAGTCAGCAGCTGTTTGTTGAGTGTTACTACCTGCTGGATGCTTTACGTGCTGGGAAACTGCAGTGAATAAAATACGTGTTCTGTGTCCTCAGGCACATATCCCAGTAGGGAGAGAGGAGGACCAGACACACACTGAGTGGCCAGATTATTATGACCACCTGACGTTTGTAGGCAAATTAGCTATAATTTCACGCTGAAGTTGCTAGAGGGCCAGACCATTATAAATAGGGAAGCAGGTTGTTTACCACGACAGTAGAAGTGATTTTTTTTCTGAAGATATGGGTAAACAACACGATTTGACAGCCTTTGGACGTGGGATATATTTGAACGTGAGTGGCCAGATTATGATGACCACCCCATCAGACTCCTCTTGGCAAGGCCAGACCGCATGGCCTTACTTTCCACTTGGTTCCCAGGCTAGAGACCTAACTGGATGCGGGAGCTGTTCAGTAATGGTTGAAAACAATGAGTGACTAAGCCCAGGTAAGGTGCGGGCTCAGCACACGAGGCTTGCTCGTTTCCAGGGCTTTGGTCTGTGTT